CAGGGACGGGAGTAAATATTGCCTCCGCTGTGCAAAAAAAAAAGCTTTCACGTGGAACGAAGGCCGTATGATGGGAGGCTACAAAGGGCAGGAAGGGTTTGGAAATGTGTGTTTTTATTTGGATTGGTATATACCACGATATCATGTGACGTTTATCATGAGAGCAGATAGTTATCGTAATCGACCGTTGAGGTTGCGACTCGCCGGGATTTTTCTTTTTGAGAGTGGTTGCTTCCGCATAGAAAGACCTTAAGCTTATACTGAAATCAAATCCAGATCTCTTCTTCTACTTTCTAGCGTCTGGATTGTGCCAGTCAGTTCGTCGTCTGCCTTACTTCTAGATATGGCTCTGCAGGTTCCACGCCCCCAGAAAGTCGGTTCTACGGTGCACGCACTGTGCTCTTACGGTGGGTCCGCATCCGGGGTTTTGCCTGAGGCTTTGGCCTGCCCGCGGCCTGGGGCCTGCGTCCAGCATCCAGCAGCGTCCAGTCGAGTTCCACGTCCTGTCCTCCACGCTTTGCACCCCCCGTCTCGGAGATGCGGCGGTTCCTCCTTTGGAGACAGAGCCTCTTTCGCGGAAGCCTGACTACATCCCAACCCCACACGCATCGAACCCATCAACCTGAACGAGAGTGCATCTCTTTTTGGCCTCATTTCTCAATCCTTAACTTTTATTCTTCACTTACGAGCAGGTTTTGCGACCCTTGCGACCCTCTCGCGACCCCGATTACCATTCTCCACGCCGACGTCACCCGATTTGTCCAACGCGACCACGAGCCACGATCGCCCATCCATCAACTTCCGACCCCCATCCATCGCGATCGACGAACCCCTTCCCAGCTTCAAATGAGTACTTCTTGATACGACCTGTGCATCATACAATAGCAACATATCGACAGTCGCGACACTTCTCAGCCTCGTTGCAGTCCGGTAGCCGCCCCATCCGGCATTATGGCGCCGGTCGTGACGGCAATCCAGCCGCCGGCTGTCGCGTCCAAAATCAAACGTCCAGTACCCCCTGGCATCCAGACCAACGGAGCAAGCTCCATCAAGTCATCGCCCTCTCCATCGATGTCTACCAAGAAACCACCAAATTCCGCGACGATGAATGGCGCGAATCCACAATCTGCGCGACCCGCCAACCGCGTGCGCCGCGAACAGTCGGCCCAGGGCGGTCGCAACTCTAGGAACAGTGCAGGGCTGCGCTCAGCCTCGGTCGCCGCCGACATGGCAGCGGCCCAAGCCGTTGAGCCGCCACCTTATGGTATGTACACTCGAGGTGGGCATCACGACGCGTTGCTCGTGCTAACATCGACACAGTGGTCACGCCCGAGTACATCCTGAAGAAATACGCCGGCAACCCTCCATCCCTTGTCGTACACATGCACCAGAACCACTTCCGGTTCGACCAACAAGACGGAATTTTCCAGTACAAGTCGCCCATGCAGATTTTCCTACAACACCTGCGGCTGCGCACAGTTCCTCACGACCTCCTCGAATACTTCACACAGTGGGGTGTGCCCTTCTACGAGGGGTGCCTCATCGTCCAGGTACATGATCACAAGTCGGTAGTCCAGTCCAAGGATGTTGCGCGACCGACTTCTGCCTCGAGCAACAAAGTAGTCCCCTCATCTATTCACAACCATAACCCATACATTGTACCATCGCCGTACGTCCCGTACCCCAAGGAGTCTCTCGGAGCTCAGCCTGAGCTCGCCCACCAAGAGCATGAGGATACGAAGCACAAGACTGCGGAGGAAAAGGACAAGGAGAGCATGCCAGCGCCCAGTCTGCCGGGGGAAGGCCAAAAGAGCAAGGTTCCTCTAAAGGCCAAGATCTTCACTGTTGTCCTGCATCCAACGGCAGAGAGCCTCCAGGCTGATCTTCTGATCAAAGCTGCGACTCCTCGCGGAGCGTCCGATGGACGTGGAAGCATCGATGCTAACGGCGCCCCCCCTGCAACACCCATCACCATGGTTCCTCCCACTCCCACGGCGGGAGCCATGCCGCCTCCGGCCAAGAAGCAGAAACGTGAGAGGATGGAGTTGGACTCCAGCAACATCTACCTAGCTGAGTCTCAGATCCTGCTAGCGACCAATGCTCCTCTCTTTTTGGAGCCGACAAGGGATGTGGAAGAAACGATTGCTCTGCTTGATGCTCTGACCCACCCCAAGCACTCAGATTCTCCTCCCCAGCCAAAGACGAGGAAGCGGACCGTGGCCGAGATGGCTGCCGACGAGGCTGCCGCGGCAGACCAAGAGAAGTATATGCTTACTTTGGACGAGCGCACGTTTACTGCCGCCGGCGGAGCACAGAGTGGATCGAACGGCGCCGACAAGGAAGGCCCTGCCGTCGTCACCACCTTCGAGCCCAGATTCGAGCGATTCAAGGTCATTGCCGAGATTAAGAGGGAGCACGATGAGAGGAAAGAACAAGAGAAGGCCAAGGCCGCAGAGAACGAGCGCAAGCTCGCTCAAGAGAAACAGAAGCAGATGCAGGAGCAACAGGCTGCTATCACTGCTCAACGCCAGGCCGAGGCCGAAAAGCTGCGGCGCGAGCATATCATGGCTCAGGAGCTCAAAGCTCGTCAAGAGCAGCAGCAAAGAGAACAGCAACGACGAACCTTGGCGGCTCAGGCTGCTGCGCAGAATCAGGCTCAGAGCCAGAATGCTGCACCGCCCCAACCCCAGCCAACACCTACAACCATGCCAAATGGCACCACGGGAGCTGTTCCCAGCGGTATTCCAGCGCAGACCCAAGCCCGTTTTACTCAAGCATCTCAGCCTCCAGTTTCTTCACCTGTCATCCGTCAGGGCACACCTCACAGCCTGTCGTCGCCCATGCCTGGCGGTGTACCGATGCAGCAGTCCAATTCGAACATGGCCAACAGTCCTACTCGGCCGCCTTCGGCAGTTCAAGGCCACCCCCCGAACGTCGGAGGTGTTCCTATGTCTCACAGCATGTCTGCCCGCGCCAGCCAGCAAAGCCATCCCAACGGTACGCCCCGCATGCCACAAGGAACTCCGAGTATGCAGGCAACGCCAGTGCCGCGACCTGCCGTTGCTGCCACGCCTCGCATGGGACAAGCCAGTCCTCCTCCGAATATGATGCAATCAAACTCTCAAATGGGCCAGCCTATGATGAACGTCGGCACACCTGGATCCATGTCGAACCAAATGCATAACCCCAACCTGATCGCAGCTCAAGTAGCCCAACAGCAACGTGCTATTCAGCAACAACAATTGCAAGCAGCCATGCAGAGTGGCATGGGTAACATGATGAATGGCATGAACCCGCAACAGATGACGCCCCAGCAGCAGCAATTTATGCAGCAGCAGATGCACCAGCGCATGCTTTTGCAGCAGCAACAGCAACAGCAGCAACAGCAGCAACAACAACACCAGCAGCAACATCAACAACGCGGTAACATGGGTAATATGATGACGCAACAGCTGGCGGCCCAGTATGCTCAACAACTTAACCGCATGGGAGGCAACCACATGGGCGGCGGTCAGATGACGCCACAAATGCAGGCACAGCTCCAGGCTCAGCTCCAGGCGCAGATGGGCAATCCCATGCAGCGGCAGATGGGTGGCCAGGGTATGATGAATGTGAATGGGCAGAATATCAGCATGCAGCAAGCACAAGCGATGATGCAGTTGCAGCAGCAGCAGCAGCAAGCGATGGGCGGGAATAGCGCTCTCACGAACCAAGTGAAGATGCAGGGAATGGCGATCTACAACAAGCAAATCGCCAACCTTGCTGCCAAGTATGGCGGGAGCGTGGAAAACATCCCACCTGCCGAGATGGAGAACTTTAAGCGGCAATGCATGTTGGAGGCCAAGAACCAGATAAGTAACGTTCTTGCACAGCGTAGGGCGCAGCAGGTGATGATGCAGCAACAGCAGCAGCAACACCAGCAACAGCACCAGCAAATGCAGCAGATGCAGGGGATGGGCGGGATGATGGGACCTCATGGAATGTAGATTCTGTGATGACAGCCATGACGCAAGTGTCCTGACGATTCAGAGTCAATGGCGGAGGGAGAGAACAGCGGACATGCCATGTTAAGAGCGTCTTTTTATTTCGGCGTCTAAGGGACTAGGGGAGGGTTTGGCTGGTTTCGATCTTGTATGATCTTATATACCCCTACGAAGGCGCATCTACCTTATCCTTCAAGGTGCGGTCAGGGACGGACGTCTATTGAATTGGGGGGCTGACGCAAACAAACGGCATATGCATACGCCAGAGCGGTTCGGGACTCTGAGAGCGAGTTAATATGTTACTGTGTATATCAGTTCAGTCATCAGTGAATTGGAGTCCAATTCAGAAAAGAAAAGTTCAGGTAACGACTTGAGATGAGCTTGGTGTGTGGAGACCATTCAATCCAACATTGCGTTCCATGTATGTGGTTGTGTCTTATGTTGATGGGATTCTGGATCTGACTTCCGGCCAGGACTTCTTCCACACAATGAAGGTAAGCCGCCTAGGATGAGAGGGTCCGTGCATGCCCTCCATCAGCAGCATCACGTGCATTGCATCGCTTAATCTTCGGCATGACGCGGGAGAGACCCGATGATGCAACCCGCTAATGCCGCTAAGGTGCAGGAAACGGTCAGGTTCCACGGTCCACGGCCCAGGTCCAGCAGCAGCATCCAAAGTGGAAGGTGCCGCGCTGGGTCATTCATCCACTGTCACTGACTGACTGCTCTGGCCTTTAAGCCACATGAACCATTCCGTGACCTCGAGCTTCCACCACCACTGTGCTGCCTGTTGAGCTCAACACCACATTCATTAGCAGCAGTAACATCTTCTTGTTCTCTTTTTTGGGTCTGTCCGGTACTTTCTGCAACCTTGCCGAGCTCCAACGTTGCCTGCGCCCTTCCCCCTTCCATCCGCCGCCGTCCCGATCCACCCGCACGCAACCCCCAGACCATTCCGCCGAACTTCATCGAAGCTCAGACATCGACAACAGCGACCCTTCGGCCGGCCCTCCCGTTATGCATTTCCCTCGACCGCAAGCAGCTCTTCTGCTAGCCTTCCTCTTCTCCTCGCCGGCATTGGCGGCCACCATCGACTGCGAACACATCCGCGTAGACGATGTTTCCTTCAACCTAAAGGCCCTGGGAGGCCCGCACAGCGTCGTGACTAGCCGGTGGCACCCCCCAACCTTCACGAACACGTCCTACACCGTCGATATCTGCAAGCCTCTGAAGCGGAAAGGGGACGTCAAGAAGGACGAGCAGTGCCCCAACGGCACGCGAGGTACGCTGCCTGCCTGCTCCTTTACAAAGCCAGGACATTTGATGGATTACTAACACCGCGGAAAAACAGTCTGTGCCATTGAGCGCACCGTCCACCCGGGCAACGACAAGGACAAGGACGAGGTCGAGAAGGTGATTCCGATCGCCGGCGAGCTGCAAGACGTGGGCGGCAAGCCTCTCGATGCCAAGGTCGAGCGTCTCAAGTCCAGCGACTCCAACTCGGACGCGAAGGAAGGCCTCCGGCTCATCCTGAACGGCGGCTCCTACCCCTTGACCAGAAGCGGCAGGAAACAGAAGGCCATCATCGAGTTCATCTGCGACCGCGAGAAGACGGGTCTCGAGGGAGAGGTCACCTCGGAAGACCAGTACGATACTGCCACGAAACTGCGCGCACGTGATGACAATGACGACAAGGACAAGGATAAGGACGGCGATGGGCCATCACCCGACGAGAAGCAGATTATGGGAAACGGCACTGCCTTGATCTGGGACAGCTACGGTCCTGCCGAGGGAGATTTTGACGTCTTGAGAATGACTTGGCATACAAAGTACGCCTGCGAAGACGCGCGCGACAAGCCTGATGAGAACGGTGACGCGAGCAGCCACTGGGGCTTCTTTACTTGGTTTGTCGTCTTGTGGGTCCATCCTTTTCTCCAGATTTACGTTCGCCAGCTAACAGTTGCGGTGTAGGGCTTTCCTCGGTACCGCCGCATACCTCATCTTCGGCTCCTGGCTGAACTACAACCGATACGGTGCTAGAGGCTGGGATCTTCTGCCTCACGGAGACACGATCAGGGACATCCCGTACTTGGTGAAGGACTGGACACGCAGTGTCCTGAACACGGTGAACGGCAGCGGCAGCCGAGGCGGCTACAGTGCCGTCTAAATGCGCTCTTTTCACGGGGAGTTGGCATAAGCATGGAAGTGTACATTTACAGTGTAAACGGGGTTAGTGACTGAGGTTTCCTAGGTGCATGGTTTCGCGGGTCTGGTTGCGACTTGGAGTTGGGCTGGTTTGGTCCCTTGGGCTCGTCGCATTAGCTGGTTCGTCCAAGAGAGTACTCTTTGATCCAAGTTTTGTTGTCCCAATCTGTGATGCTTTTCGGCATATAGGTTTTGCGGTATGCTCGCACAGCGGCGCCAAAGCATGATCGGTGGTAGATCGACGCACCAAGTACTGTGGGGCGTGTCTCTTGAATTTCTCCAGAAATCCCCCGCGCCTCGCCACAACCTACCGTCCAAGCAACAGATAAGCAGTTAATAGCCCCCAGGTACCAATCGCGAACTGACAACTGCCCAGAATGAATTCCTCGCGCAGATTTGACGATGTACCGCTTCCGAGCGATGAGGACTTGACCTCGTCACCACCACCATTCACTCCCCCTCCCCTCCCTCAACTCACAAACTCCCCACAAACAATCCCAGACTCCTGCCTCTCGCTCTCCATCCCTCTCCTCCGCGCCCTACACGCCCTCCTACCACCAGCACCGTCCCTCACTCTCTCCATAGGTAGCGGCACCGGCCTCGTCGAGGGTCTTCTCCAGTCCCTCCCGGACGCCCCGCCTCTCAACCTCGTAAGCGTCGAAGTCGCGCCCAGCCCGAATAAGTATCACCACCCGCACCGCACCGTGCCCGGGACCTGGGCTGTGGAAGGCCTGGCGCGGGAGGCGGCGGCGTGGGTGTTTGTGTACCCGAAGCAGGTGGCGTTGGTGAGGGAGTATATGCGGCTGTTTGTCGAGGGGCCCGGGCCGGAGGTTGTGGTTTATGTCGGGCCGCGGATGGACTGGGGAGATTTCGGGGGCGCGCTGGAGGGTGGTGGGAGGGGGGTTGAGGTTTGGGGGGAGGAGAGGATGGAGGAGGTTGGGGGGCGCGGGTGGGAGGTTGTTGCGGTCGTGAGGCGGACGGGGACGTGAGGTGGGACTTCTCGGGTCTGTCAACTTTGGCCCTGAGGTTGACCTAGCCCCCGGAGATGCTTGCGAAGAGCTCGCGTATCGGGCATAAGTCGGGAGGATCGCAAGTCATGGCAATTCTTGCCGGCCTCCTTCGGGCCTGATGCAACACTTGGCGAGAACGCCTCAGACGATGAGTACGCCAGACTGTGCATGTCTCACGGCAGGAAGTGGGTATTGCCAGGCGTCATCGTATTCGGGTTCTTCATTTACTGATCATCTCAATAGGGTCATCACCGCGAATTCCACGGGCGCGATGCACGACATGCCAGATGCCATCCGCATTGTGGATCTGTTTGAATCCGAACGCCTGGACTTGGGCGATTGTGTATTCTGTCTTACGAAAACATCACGAACCTGCACCACACTCCCATCTGAAAAATTGGCATCTGGACTGAGAGGCATCCAGACAAGGCTCGTGATATCATGTGGTCTAGATTTTATATACTAGTATGGCTACGCAAATGCTAAGCTATGCCAATGTGTTAAAAACGCAGCCACGCCACTAAACACCCTGCCTCCCGTCCATCGCCAACTTCACCAGCCAACTCACCAACTCTAGCCTCTCCTTCCTTCACCCTGACGAATCCTTGCCCATCGGACGGACAGAAGAGATTTGCTGGATTCACCATCTCCATTACGAACACACTACGATGCAACCTCGGCACATGTGCACAAAAGTCACGGCAGGTATTTATATATACATGGTCGAAACAGAAACGCAAGCCTCCGAGGTCAACTCTGAGAAGGCTCGAGGCCAGCTTACGCGCCGGCAGCCGGGGCGGCCATCATGGAGGCGGCGAACGTTGCGGCCTCATCGGCGTCGTTGCCGTAGGTGAGATGGGCGCGGCGGATCTGGTTGCCGCCCTCGCAGATGTTGTCGCCGTTGTGGCAGATGACCTTGGTCCTAGAGGCGTCGACTCCCTGGACGGCCTGGCCGTTGACTATTCCAACCATCAGTATTGAATTTTCTCAAGCTTTCTCATCAGAGGACTTACGTGGGTCGCCAAAGATGACCACGCCAGCAACCTTGGCCGTCATCTCCGCCGGCATCATCGCCGCGCCGTTGTGCACGAGCTGGCCGCCCTGCGAGTACCCGGACATGATGACGGCCGAGTTGGGGCAGTTGGTGATGGCCTGCTGCGTCAGGGTGGCCATCTCCTGGGAGCCGTTGGCGTCGCCGCCGGCGAGGAAGCCGGGCACGTCGGCCGGGTACTCGATGCCCTGGACCTCGAGGTTGCCGCCGACCTGGGCGGAGAGCGCCTGGAAGAAGGGCGGGCCGGCGATGGTGCCGACGTTGCCGCGCTCCGTGGTGCCGCGGGCGAAGACGACGATCATGTTGGCGCACGCGCCGCCCTGCAGGCCGTTTTGCGTGTTGCCTGAGAAGTCGGCCTGGCGCTTAGTGATGGGGGTGGAGGTCGCCGTGCCCAGCAAGGCGAGGAGGGCTGCTGATGTCGTGAGATGCATCGTGAAATGAGTGTGTTGTTGGCGGTGGTGAAGGGATGTCGACGGTTGCAGAGATTAAACTACTAGGCGATGGAAGGAGAGGCTTAACTTTGAGATATCACTGGTCAGGCACGGGCAGATGAGATGGGCGGCGGCGTTGGATTCTTATACCGGAGATGCGGAAGACAAGCTTGGCCTTGGCATTTTCACTTTGAACGTTTGTACGCAAGCCGCACCGATATGGACCAACCTCCGGATGGACAGGCCGCCGTGACGGGCGGCGAGGGCAGAGAAGAATAAGCTTCTTTCGTTCGCTTATTGCGGTGTGTGTGATGTCGTCTGCTCCAGGGCAGCTTCAGGTACCGCAACCTCATCCCAATAGGGAAAGGAGGGCGGATCAGAGGCAGGGACCTCACGTGGGATCAGCCTGATGGCGACACTAGACGGGAACAGGGGAACAGGGTTGCCTCATGTTCAAGACGACAGGACTCGGGGAGCGTTCTCAGTCGTGAGCCTTCTGTTTGGCTGGAAGAAAGATAAGGCCGCGACATGTGGACCCCTGGAAGCTTGATCTGCCTTGCTGGGCGGGCTCGAGGCTGATCGGTGAAGGGAAAAGAGAGTGAGGATGAGCTGCATCGGGGCCGGAAGAACAGACGGGGCTGGATGCGATTGGGCGTGGCCGTTTCATGGGCGTGGCCGTTTCATGGGTGTGGCCGGCCAGGTGTGTGTGTAGCCATGGGGTTTGAGCAACTCGAAACATCGGGCGGGCTGTGCGTCGAGGCCACCAGGGACGAGGGGCGGATGGGAGGCGCACCGAGTGCTTCCAAGCTTTTCAAGAGTGTACCAGCCTAGTTTTGGTGGGCTGAAGAGTTGGGAAGCTCTTGCTGCCCACAACATGGGACGGCGTGCAGATTTCGCGCTGGTGAACCAATGTGGAAGTCCTCCGCCGCAGCGGATTGGCAGGTTGCTATTCCTCTGACAGCGCTTTGTTCCCTCTTCGGTCTGATGTTTTCCATAACACTGGCACGATGTCGGCATGTCGTCTCGAGTCCGACCCAAGGTTGGTGTTAATTGCGCTGACTTCGCAACGTTCGGAATTCCCGACGGTGCGAAGGTTGACGTGCATCATGCCCCTTGGCTCTCGGCAGCTGGGCGCGGGAGGCCATGTACGTATGGCGTGCGCCGTCGGATTTTAGGAGGCCCGTTAAGTGTGCTCAACATCCATGGATCATCTCGACTTTTCCTCGGGCGGTGTGACGGATGTTGTAGGGATGGACTTGTCCGGAGCCTGGGGAGGGGAAGATGCGTGCGGCGATGACTAAAGGGGTTAGATTGTGATCTCACGTCGGTACCGAGACGCTGGCTCGGCATGTTGTCAGGGAGGAAGTGCGATTAGGTTGGAGGCGATTGGGAAGGGAGTTGACTCGCGGTGACAGCCAGATGACACCGGGGAGTCGCCGAGGGAGTTTGAGTTGGGAGAGTCATTGGCTTGCTTTCTGTGTGAGCTAGTCGAGACACAACGTTGAGGTTATCCCCAATGGAGACGTTGCCATTCTTTTGGCAACTTGTCGACAAAGAAACCGTTGCACGACGGTTCTGAGGTACAGCCATTGTGGAATGTGTCGTCAACCCTTTGACGGCTGCAAACGGGATTGCGTTGAAAGAAGCTTGCGGGATTCGCGCTGCCAAGGGAAACGTCCGGAAGATCGGCCTCCGCATCGACGCCACGGGGCACGGGAGCTTAAGTTTGGCCCACCTTTCGGTTGATATCGCGTTAACCTTTCTGCCCATGTTTCCAACGGTCCTTTTGTGCCTGGATCCTCTTTGACATGCGTTTTAGCCCTGGGCGTTGAACACCTGTTTTTCTAAGCCGAACGACGCGGCTGACCGATGATTATCAAGAAACAATGCTCATATCAGAGATATCGCGGGCCTCGTGGTGGTCTAAGCTAGATCACGAGCTCGGCGTAAGGAGATTGGCCGGTGGTTGCTGCCGTGATTGTGAATAAAGAAATCTTCTATTGTGTCTGAAGCTATTCTTTGGCCTCGGCTGTTCATACATCCGCCGAGTGTCAAACATTTAAAAATTGATGGATAGAAAATGACAACCGAAAAAGCATCCTTGGCTAGCTCTCAACACCAGATCCTCAAACGAAACCTTCGACATAACAATTCTAAACACTCTCGCCTGTGTAATCGACGGTCCTTCACTGCCCTCTAACCTGACTTTGAAGCCCTCAAACAGTCGTATTAGTTCCGCGCACAATATTAATCGGTTCCCATGCCTCGGGGCCAATCTTGTCATTGGCATGTTTGAGCTCAGCTCTCGTGATCATACCATTACGAGTGAAGTCCAAAATCACAATGATCTTCTCAACGTGTCCATCGGTCCATTCATGATGAACATCTGTGATATCCACGTTGCAGAACACGCGGCCCCGATCATACGTGATGTTTGTGTACCGAGTCTTTTTTCTGTATTCCGAGAAAAAGCCGGCAATTTCCAAGGGGGCGTGAAGTTTTCGACTGGTGCCGTTTAAATTGACGATGATCCACATTCTTTCGTGATTACAGAGGTGGGAAAAGTCCTCCGTGTCGTGGTCTTGAATGACACGAATCACAAAGAGCCTGGCGAGAAGAGCGTAGAGGGGGCCTGTGTGATGTCCAACGTAGTCTTGGGCATCAGGATCATTGCTCCATGAGGGAACCAAGTTCTTCAACCTGATCATCTTCTGTATCTGCGTTGGAGAGGGATTTGGCGTGGATGTGGCTGATCCTCCGAAGACAAGGGCTAGTCGACGCATCTGTTCTGCTGCAGCATCAAGACCTATGGGCCTTGGCGTTTCCGAAGAAACAAAAACTCCATCACGGATTTCGAAGTCCATCGGCTCAGGGAAGGGATTGTCCCAAGTGGACTCGGGTGTTTGTGCTCGGTGGACTGGCGAGGACATTGTGCGATTGTTGGTCCCTGAGTAGGCTTGCGATATCAAGTTGTCAGTTGAGCGATTGTTGTAACAGAAATCGGAACTTCTTGATGGAAACCTGGATGCTATAAGGTATCGGGATATGCAGTTGACGTTTTGGTATGCTGTTCGAAATTGGAGGACTGGCGACAGCATGCTCTATTTCAAGTAGCGGATTGCGACAACGTCAAATACCGCTATCGAGCTGGCGGTGACAAAGGTTTCGTTCTTTGATCAAAAGCGTGTCGATGAAAATTGTCCTTGCAGCTTGAATGAACAGTATCCTCAGATTAAAACTCCACTAAATAACGGATTTGGCTTGTGTTTTGATCAACCAAGTGTAACATGAAGACGCCTGCCCTCCATTATCTAGCGCATAATACACACCTTCATGGGATTTTTTATCTGCTTCCGGCGATTGTGTTTCGTGAAAAATCCCTTTGCTGCAATAAATGCGCTGTAAGGCCAGGGTCCCGGTCTAAGAATGTTCCCCGATTAGTAGCCGCCTATTGCGCCGCCAAGAGATGTTTTTTGATGCCCGACACTCCAGTCCTGGCCGCGTATTATTAGGGTTGAATCTGTATCGGGCCTAATGAAGATATATCCGATCAACTTTCTAGCGGTATCGAAACTGTGTGGTGAAGACCTGCGTTTTGCAGGCCAAAAATAGGACCCTTGCGCTTGATTGAGGTGCATTTCCTATTCTCGGTAAGAATGTGACCACAACGGCACATTCTGCACCAACGTGCATGCACATCCGGGTTCCGCGGCTACACTGTGGAGATGAGAACTGTGTGCGTGCGAACAGAAGTGACAGCAGGGGGCTGTTGGGACGCCCGCATGTTCATCACAGCCTGAATTGTCCGCGATGGATACCGGCCAAGACGAGGGGGCCGGACGATGCAACCGGCTCCGACACGCAAGTGACAATCACAAATACGCCTCGAGTTTCTTTCTTTGTCCTTCGACTTTTCTTTTGTTTTTCTTTTTTCATGTCGGGTTTCTTCTAGTCCAAGTAACGCATTCTCATTGAAGGGCTAATCACCATGTCTCAATCTCAAGACAACCACGAAGTTGAGCTCGCTGCTGATGACGGGGTAAGCTTGAAACCTGAAACTTTGTCTTTTAATCTCTAAAAGTTGCAGGATGATCCCCGCTCAGAAATCGGAAGTGTAAGCTTTGTCCCGAGGGCCAAGCGCAACTACTGGCGCGTTGCTAACTATCAACCACCCAGAGTATTGCCTCCTCGAGAACCAGTCTTCGTGACTCCATAATCGATTATCGCATTGAGAACGGCCGATCCTACCATCGTTACAAAGAAGGCAGTAAGTGGCTCCTCGTGCATGAACAATCAGCGTGGGTTCTGACGAGATCCTCCAGAATACAATCTCCCAAACGACGACCAGGAAAACGACAGACTTGGTGAGCTTAAAACCATAACTCACGATGTGGACCTAATTTGATGCTGACTCCAAATTCCAACCAGATTCAAACCATCAGCTGTGGCTGATCACTCTTGACGACAAACTCGGCGTCGCCCCGCCCTGCGAAAAGAATGCGACTGTTGGTCGAGTACTTGATGTCGGCACTGGCACAGGTATCTGGGCTATTGACTTTGGAGACGAACATCCGGAAGCCGACGTCAGTACCTATTCGAACAGCTCATCTTAATGAGTCTCGAAGACTCATGGATACAGGACTAACTTTGCATCGCAGGTTTATGGGAACGACCTATCCGCCGTACAGCCAACCCTGTGAGGAAACATTCATAGTCAAGATTGAGAGAGTGCTGACCATTCTTCACAGAGTACCACCGAACGTCAAGTTTGAAGTTGACGACATTGAAGACGAGTGGACATACTCTCGTCCATTTGAGTATATCCACAGCCGGCTCATGACTTCCAGTCTCAGCGACTGGCCCGTGTTCTTGAGACGCTGTTTCGAGTAAGTCATTCTACTTTCGCCTTCATCGATATCGATATCATATTTTCCCGATTTGATCATGTAAAGGAGCTAACGAAGGTGGCTATGAAGTAATCTGGAGCCTGGTGGTTACCTCGAATTGAAAGAAACCGACATCATTCCTCGTTCCGACGACGACACCCTCAATCCCGCGCATGCCCTCATGAAATGGGCTAACCTCCTTCTGGAGGCGTCAATCAAGCTTGGACGGCCCTACATGGAGATCCCAAGTTTGAAGCAGCTCATGATTGAAGCAGGATTTGAGGATGTCACAATGCACGTCTATAAGTGGCCAACTAATGGGTGGCCTAAGGACCCAAGATACAGGGAGATTGGCCTGTGGAACTACGAAAATACAATGATGGGCCTAGAAGGTTACACGATGGCTCCCTTGACGCGCGCTCTGGATTGGATGCTAGCAGAGGTCGACGTCTTCCTCATTGATGTGCGCAAGGACCTCAAGGATCGAAGCATTCATGCATACTGGCCTCAGTGAGTCTCACTCCCACATGACACCTGGAAGAGTTGTGTTTTGAACATTTGACTAGATACGCTATCGTCGGCCGCAAGCCACAAAAGGAGGAAACGCCAGCGGCTGCTTGAGATTCATCATGATCACTTGTCTGTACCCAGCTGCATTTGTACCAAGCCCGATAAAAGTCCATATCTCGAATGACTTGGCAGAAGAATTGTGCCACTGGCAAACTCGGAGTAATTGTTGCATGAGTACCTTCCGCGGATTAAACCGCGGGAACGAGTCGGGATCATGACCCCTGCGCTCGCTTGTGAAGCATTTACCCTTGGTGAACATGTCATAATTGACAAACATATCTTGACAGGCATTGGTGTGATAAACATGCAACGTCGCACCTGCCCCAATTCTCTGTTTTCTCATTCGTGCGTAGTTCTTCATGTCCACAAAACTTGCCGCGTAACATGGATGTTTATGCACATTGGTGCAGAGCAACGGGCGGCCAAGAAGAGGGGCCGAGTGGTACAAAAACCGCATTATTTGCCTAGCGTCTACCGTTCCGTCTTCTTGTGCTGTTTCCTCTCTTTTCCACTGGAGCCAGTCCTTGCACGTGGTTTCATTGAAACATCAATAATCATGGCTAGCCCTCCGAACGACTTTGAAATCCAGGTTGCTGCCGATGAGCAGGTAATTGGCGATCTTCTTGCGGTTGCAATCCCTTATTGTTATTTTCCGGTCTAACGAAGTATTGCAGCAGGATGACAGCCACTCTGATATTGAAAGCGTGAGTTCCATATGAGACACTATAACACGGCCTTCTGGCTTAATGAGACCACCAGGTCACCGCCTCATCAACGACTAGTCTTCGCGAGTCCGTGGTAGACTACCTCGTGGAGAATGGACGCACGTACCATCGTTACAAGGAAGGCAGTATGTGTTGATGAGTCTACGTTTAAGCCTCTTCTAACCTAGCATTTAGAATACCACTTGCCTAATGACGAAAGAGAGAATGACAGAGAAGGTTAGGAAAACCCCGTCTTACTCAATTCACCCGACTGACCAAAGTTCCAGACATGGTTCATGCGTTGTGGCTTCTGACGCTTGACGACAAGCTTGGTCTCGCGCCACCATGTGATAAGGATGCCAAGGTCGGCCGAGTTCTAGACATAGGCACAGGCACTGGAATATGGGCTATCAATTTTGCGGATGAGCACCCAGAATCCGAGGTACCTTCCGTCTCTCTAACAGGCGATCTCTCGTAGACGATCCATTCCGCGAAATCTAACAATGAGCAGGTTCTTGGGAATGACCTCTCTCCGATTCAGCCAAGCGAGTGAGTGGTTTCGATCGGGGCATCCAAGACCCTATTTTGACACATTGCTAACCTTTCTTGTGCAGCGTCCCGCCCAACGTGAGGTTTGAGGTTGATGATATCGAGGATGAGTGGACATATTCGCAACCATTTGACTACATCCACAGCCGAGTGATGACATCAAGTGTTGCGGACTGGCCTCAATACTTGAAGAAGTGCTACGAGTAAGAGGATCACTCAAATTGTTCGAATGCGGCGTGTATAGAAATAACTGACTTGTGATCGCGCAGCAATCTCCAGCCCGGCGGCTATCTCGAGCTTCAGGAGCTCGATCTCTTCCCTTCATGTGATGATGGAACCCTTACAAAGGACAGTCCATTGATGAAGTGGGCGGACCTACTGTACGGCGCTTCGGTCAAATTTGGCCGCCCTTACTTGGAAATTTCTACCTTGAGGAAGGCCATGATTGAGGCCGGCTTTGAGGACGTTACTATGAGTACTTATAAATGGCCCTCGAACTCCTGGCCAAGAGACGTCCATTTTAAGGAGCTTGGGATGTGGCAGAGGGAGAACATGCTCAGTGGGCTAGATGGGTTCACTCTAGCCCCTCTGACGCGTGCCCATAACTGGTCACCTACGGAAGTCAGCGTCTTCCTCATCGACGTTCGAAAGGTTATCAACGACAGAAACATTCACGCCTACTGGCCAATGTAAGTGTTGCTTGAGAATGCATCCAAAATTCGATTTTTTTCTAACAAGTCTAGCTATTTCATCGTTGGCCGGAAGCCGTTGAAGGAGGAAAAGTAAAGTAGATTGTCGTCTCATGTGGAAATTTCAAAAACGCTTAGTCGGCGTACATATTGCCTCTTGAATAACAGGTTGGCCTGACACTTGTAGCCTTTAAGACAACTGAAACACATATTAGTAAGGCCGTCAGGCCTTCGCTCCCCGACGTGAATGTGTAAAAGCCGTTGTTGGCTTTGTTGGCTTTGTTGGCTCTGTTGTATTTTCAGGAGTTTCCCAAATCCACTCCGAGAACATCGTGGCCGAAGAGTGTAAAACAACAATGGCAAGCAATTGTGAGGCTGGGAATTCAAAGTTAATAATTCGAGTCATATCGGCGTCGTTTGTACATGGATTTTCGGTGCATCTTCACTTTCCATCGCAAATGACTAGATGAGACGGTGCTTTCGCTGAGACAGCATGACGAGGCTCTGTCAGAGTTTCAGCAATCGTGGTATCCTTGTTTCCACGTAGCTGGATCACTGATCTTGCTCGCCCGCGCAAGTTGGTGGACCACCGCATCTCGGAAGAAATCGACATTTTCACCGAGCATGCACGTGAGGATTGTGTAAATTAGACGTCTTTTTGCATGATTCAGAGGTTAAACTAAGAGTCGGACAACGGATAACACGTGCAACGATTAGTCGAGAACTAGGTAGATTATCTGCAACCCAGCACATGGGGGCTCTGTCAATGCTCACATGGATTTGTTGGCCCTCTACATCCGGATGCCCGGGAATAATACGAAGTGCTCGGGGGCTCCGTCCACAAGGGGCTCATCATGTGTGGGCGGCGTGATAACGTGGGTCAAGAATCGCCTGGATTCCAGCCGGGGCTTGGATCCCACATCCGCGCCGCTCGGCTTCTTATCCTAATGCAGGGAAACATGTCACCCAGAGGTAGGCTGGACACAAATTTTGGCGGTGATAGAGATATGAGATGTTTGTCTGCTTGTTTTCCCTCTTTCTATTCGCGAATAATGCGGCCGATCCACAAAAGGTGGCCTTGTCACGAACATTTCATGCACGTCGGTGCAGGATACAGAACGCATGCGGTTGCCAGCCAAGAAGAGGGGGGAGCCGGGGGTGAAGGCCGGCTCCGTGAAACGCCCGGGGTATTTCAATTGTGTCGTACCTCCCATCGACCCAGATTCCTGGGATTGTTTTCTCTCTCTCAGCATTTCCCGCGGCAACCAACGCGGTTTCACAATTTTCCATTGACAAGTCACCCGTCATGTATCAAGCTCCGGAGAGCAACGAAGTCCAGGTCGCCATCGACGACGGGGTATGCGTGCTTCGTTCAAAATGTGACGTTTAATCTAACGTTGGCGGTAGCCTGGCGATGATGAGTCCCGGTCGGAAATTGGCAGTGTAAGCTCTGTCCTCTCGCCAGCCTTCTCATCTCAGACTTCACGAATTGTTTGCAAGACTTGATAAGCACCGGAACTGACACACTGAGCGACAGAGCGTGGCTTCTTCAACTACGAGTCTTCGACCCTCACTTCGGGATTATCGTGAGGAGAATGGTCGGACGTACCACCAATACAAGGACGGCAGTGCGTGATCTGTGCCGCTTGACGCTCTGGTTCTCTAACCACCACATCAGAATACAACCTTCCAAACGACGACAGAGAGCTGGATAGGCAGGGTCCGTGGCTGTGTCTGTGTTATTCACAATCCCACTAATTGAGAACCTAGATCTGGAGCACCAGTTATGGCTTCTTACTCTTGACGACAGGCTCGGTCTTGCCCCGCCGTGCCAGCCGACCGCCAAGGTCGGTAGAGTCCTCGATGTTGGAACAGGAACGGGAATCTGGGCTCTGAACTACGGCGACGAACACCCGGAGGCTGAGGTAATGTTGCCCAATATTCTTTCCACACCACGCCATGAGACTCTAACATTATTTCCGGCTTTAGGTCTATGGAAATGATCTTTCTCCGGTTCAGCCGGGCCAGTAAGTACTACCAGCACAGATTGCAAGGAGTGCCTACATCCTGTTCAGAGCTAACGTTTCGAGTGTAGCGTGCCGCCTAATGTGAGATTCGAGGTTGACGACGTAGAAGACGAGTGGACCTTTTCTCGCCCATTCTCATACATCCATAGCAGAGTACTGACCTCCAGCATCAGTGATTGGCGCCTCTATCTGCGTCGCTGCTTTGAGTAAGTCTATTGCCGAAGCTCAACATTGAAGCTTCACAGCGAGGCTAAACACGCACGACCTAGCAACCTCGAGCCTGGTGGCTGGCTTGAACTTCAGGAGCTCGACTGCGTTCCGCGCTCCGATGACGGAACCCTCACTGAAGACAGCCCGCTGAATAAATGGGCTGATCTTCTTGTTGACGCATCTGAAAAGTTCGGACGCCCTTATGTCCGAATCCCCCCGCTCAAGGATCTCATGGTTGAAATCGGGTTCGAGGAAGTGAGCATCTACATGAACAAGTGGCCTACGAACAGCTGGCCTAAGGATTTGAAGTTCAAAGAACTTGGGATGTGGCAAAACCAGAGCATGATGGAAGGACTCGAGGGCTTTACAATGGCCCCTCTCACTCGCGCGCTTGATTGGAAGAAGGATGAGGTCAATGTTTTCCTTATCGATGTCCGCAAGGAGATCAACAACAGGGACGTTCACGCGTACTGGCCTATGTGAGTGTTGAAGAGTTGTGATTAACAAAGAAAGCCCGTGCTGATACTCATAATCTAGATACTTCATCATGGGTCGCAAGCCTTTGAAGGAGCAGACGCCGGCTCCGGCCTAAGGAGACATCGGAATGTCTGGCAGTAAAGACCAGCAGGCAGCGTAGATTGACAAGCGCCAAAGCCACAAGGAGATAGAGTGGATGTTAAGGGTACATAAAGCTCAATGTCAGGATCCAACCTTGGGCAAACATGAATGACTATGAAGATAGCCACAACTACCAATTGTTACTTAAGATATTTAGTTACATTCGCGTCATGTTTAATCGACGAGCTACTTACAGTAACAAGGTATTTAAAATGAAGTCTAGATTAGATGAATTGAAATCATACGGCTTTCGCAGCAGGTGTGTCGCCACAGCTCGTCTAGACTCCATGGTCAACGTCGCTGAAACCGCACCATTTTCAGGCTCAGCTTTGAGTTTGATATGTTCCATGCGCATCCGCTTGAGCCTGATTGCCGCGATCCAATTATTTGTGAACAAGTAAACGAATACTATGACGACACCTGCAGCGATAATCAAAGGCCCGAGAATCGAGAATGGAGAAGACATTGAAACCGTACGACGCCCTGTGGAACGTATCACTTTCCTTAAGTATGTTTGTGCCAAGCCCAGCCTGCAAAGCTGTCAGAACGACAACTAAGTAAATGGTCGAGCTGGCCATCCATGTAAAGTTGCCCTCGCAAAACGAGCAGTACTGACTCCAGTGGGATTGGTAGGCGCGTAATGGCGTCTTCCAAAGGTAGCAAAGCTCGTTCAGACGGTTCAGGCGCAGCTCGCCGTAGTGTAATCGTGGATCAATATCGCGGTAGATGTTTTCCTTGTCCAACCGCTCTTTAACGAACTTCCGCCATGTCAACCAGTCGACCTCTCGGGGGAGCATGTGTTTTTCGCGAGCGATGATGAAGTCGCTCCCATAGGAAACAAGTGCTACGTAGGCGAATAGAAAGCCGAGATCTCGCTGTGGTCGAAGCCAGCAACTGCATGACCCCTATCGACATAATGAGTGTCATTAGGAGATAGTGGTTTGCAATGTAGACATTCCTGCCAGAATCGAGGTTCCATGAGAAATCGCGGTATAGGTGTGATTCAGACTATTGGACTTCTGCCAGATGAGATGCATACCCATTTGCTCAGTGACTTGTATCTGGCGGCCAAGCAAGTTCTGGTAGTGCAGCGGTCGCGGTGGCATTGGTCTGCCGGCAAGCCAAAGCCAATCATGAACATCGGCTAGACGCTTGAGGTTGAGCTCTTTATCGATACATTCGAGCATAGCTGTTTCGGAAGCACTTGGATCAATGAGGTTCTCGTGTGCGTCCCGGTAAACTGCTGGTAGCAATGAAGCATAAATATCGTCAAGGTCTAGTTTATCGACCCCAATGTCTTTATTGCTTAGTATGTAAGTGTGGAATGGGCTCGGCTGTTGAAGTTCAGTTAGACTTCTGCTTTCCACGGCATCTAAAGGGTTCGTCTACCTGAGCCCCGCGCGTCATCTCGATGTCTCCGTTTTGATCGCTCATAATGATAGGGCGAATCTCGTTGGGCTTCCTGACATTCGACTTAAAGGCTGAAAACGGTAGAAACATGAATATTAAAGCTTGAAGGAATGACGCGTTCTTCTCACTTGATTGATTGAGTGGCTAGAACGTTGCAATTCTTACATAAATCATCTGGATCAGGTGGTCTGGAACACCAAACCAAAAAGATCAGGAATGTCACTTTCTGCATTTTGCAAAATGTCTGCCTGGAGAAGTCCTGCCTGATTGCGGCGAAGCCTCTTTTTCTGCACCTATCGTTCAACTCCTGGCCAAAGCCTTGCTTACTTCTCGGACTCGCGATCCTTGCAGCTGACCGGCTATGCATATTTACATCACCTCCTAGCCTACAGCAAAAAAGGGAACTGCACACCATCATTCAAAATGGATTAACGTGTCATTTAGTCAAGTCGAATGCCAATTCAGAGCGGTTTTCACGAATTTTCAGACTCTGGCACGTCTGGCCTGTCTCAAAAGGATAGACTTATAAAAGCCAGAGATGAGTCAAGAACGTCTTCCATTTGGAATCTAGACTTTCTTAATGGGCTCATCGAGCGACGATTGTTTTCTGCTAAATGAGGCTCTTCCGACGTACCCCAAAGACGATGTAGATGCAGGATTGCATGCCTTAGCACGATGACACCAGCCGAGAAGCGGAAACAGAATGAGGAGATACGAAATGCGGCCCTAGTCGTTGGCATCATCACCGGCTGGCTAGGTCTCTTTGCCTACCTATACAAGATTCATCGCTTGCGAAAATCTCGTAAAGTGGTTGAGGAACTCGACATGACCGACCTCACCCGATACGACGTTCAGTCCGCCTCGGATCCTAAGAAGACCTTCAAGACAATCAACAAGAAGTGGGAAGAACATCTCAAGAAGAAGGCAGAAGAGCGATTGGCGGAAGAGAATAACAATGCGCATGGCGAACCCGTGTGGCTGCCGCTCTGGGCCTTCAAAGGCGAGCTGCGGCACTGGCTGCTGCTCACGCACCGCTACAAGTATGAATTGAGGAGGAAGCGACGGCCCAATCCGATATCTGAAGAAGAAGTCGGTAACGATCGACCTTCTGCTATGGAAGAGACAACAGAGACCGACGGCCTTGTCGAACCTATCGAAGATGTAACCAATACATCGGGTTTCGGCAAGTTCTACGAAGCCGCCACCCGCCAGTACTCGAACTACGCATCAGACATGGAGCAGCGGGATGAATCGATTGGAACTCGGGCAAAACCTGAAGTCCGAACCAAAGGCGGCCTCGTCATCGTGGTGCTCATCGGGTGGACGAACAAGACAAAGGACCAAGTTGACGAGGCATTCCGGCAGGTCGAGAGGGATTTTGGAGATTACCATCTAACACGCAACAACTGCCAGCACTTTGTGCGGAACCTAGCCGACCTTATCGTCACGAAGCCATCGCAGGATTGGGATTGGTTTCGGAAGATGTCCTTCAAACATCACGAGGAGTACGTGGGCCCGCAAACTTTGGGAACCCCTGGAGGGCTTTCTCGGTTGTTGTCGGATAAGCTGGAAGCTTTGAGGGACAGCGGGACAATTACTGACCATGTTGCCTTGAGGGTACTGGACGGCCACATTGAAGCACTCAAGCTGTACCTGATGACTTTGCGGCTGGAAGTCAGTAATGTTTGCATTGCCAACGCATGGAGAGGAGGACAAATTGTTGCTGCGGACCAAGCTTTGCTCATGACCTAACTTGAATCTCTTTGATTTGATAATATTCGCGTGGGGGAATTAGGGAAAGGGGTCCACATCAGCCTTTTTGTATTTCACATTGCTGGACGGAGTCTTGGTTCATGGACATTTCATCTATTGGGATCACAACACACTAACATGCTTTGTTGTGCTGCCCGACTGCCAGCTCCCTTCTCATTCCCCTCTCTTGAAAACGGACGCTTCGCTGCTCGCGCCCGTGGAATCTACGTCTAATGTTCATCAAGTTTTGAACGCCGGCATAAAATCAGTTTTAATTACATGGGAATCGAAGACTCGTCGCATAAAAAGAGCCTCTTTCATGAGCGGGTAACAGCAATAGCCTCCTCCAAAATGTCAAGACCCTGCTGGATCTCCTTCTCGGTGATTGTCAGAGGGGGCACGAAGCGGAGGGTGTTGGTGCCGGCGGTGATGATGAGCAGACCGCGCTCGCGGGCGGCCTTGACGATGGGGGTGGGGTCCTGGGTGAGCTGCAGACCGAGGATGAGGCCGCGGCCGCGGACCTCCTGGATGAGGTCGGGGAAGCGCTCGCGGAGGGCGTCGAAGCGGGTCTTGAAGATGGCGGCCTTGGCGGTGACGCCCTTCTGCAGGGCGGGGTCGGCGAGGCGGGAGACGATGTTGTGGGCCAGGCGGCAGGCGAGGGGGTTGCCGCCGAAGGTGGTGCCGTGGTCGCCGACCTTGATCTTGTCGGCGACGTTCTTGTTGACGACGGTGGCGCCGATGGGGAAGCCGTTGCCGAGGGCCTTGGCGGTGGTGATGATGTCTGGGTGGGCCTCCTTGGGCAGGTGGGTGTGCGCCCAGAAGGTGCCGGTGCGGGAGAGGCCGCACTGGATCTCGTCGTAGATGAGGACGGCGCCGATCTCGCGGCAGCGCTTGGCCAGGGCGACGAGGAACTCGTCGGAGGCGGGGGTGACGCCGCCCTCGCCCTGGATCGGCTCGACGATGACTCCGCAGGTCTTCTCGGTGACGGTGGCGTTGATGGCCGAGACGTCGTTGAACTTGCCGAGCTTGAAGCCGGGCAGCATCGGGGCGAAGGGCTCCTGGTACTTGGGGTTGTGGGTGGCGGACAGGCTGCCCATGGTGCGGCCGTGGAAGGCGTTGTTGAAGGAGACGACCTCGAACTTGTCGCTGCCGGGGTTGGAGACCTTGGCGGCCTTGCGGGCGAACTTGATGGCGGCCTCGTTGGCCTCGGAGCCGGAGTTGCAGACAAAGACGGAGTTGGCGTCGTGCATGGCGCCGGCCTCGAGGGTCTTCTCGACGAGGAGCTTGGAGAGGGCGCCGGTCCAGGGGTTGTAGTAGAGGTTGGAGGCGTGCATGAGAGTGCTACCCTGGTTCGTGACGGGCTGTGTCAGTCACTGGGCGCAGAATGACTCAACTGTGGCTCGGAGTTACCACCTACCTGCTCGGTCATGAGCTTTGTGATCTCGGGATCGCAGTGGCCCAGGGCGTTGACGGCGATACCAGCGGTGAAGTCGAGGTATTGCCTGTTCTCGACGTCCCAGAGGACAGAGCCCTGGCCCTTCACGAACACCGGGGGCGGGCGGGCGTAGGTGGCCACCATGTAAGGCGCATGTTCGCGGACGAGGGCGGCGCTGGGGGAGTCTTCGGTGGGATCGGGGTTCGGGACGGAGGCTTCCTTCTGTGGGTTATTGTTAGTCAAAAATCTCAAGAAAAAAACATCGTGACTCTGCCTCCGAGGACGACGACTTACGCTGATGCTCTCGGGGATGCTGGAGGCGGCGGCGGTCGCAGAAGAGAGCGCACGGGCGTTGAAACGCGAAGAGACGGCCAGGAGCGGCTGGCACTTGGCCAATTGAAGTCGCAGAGGAGCACGGAACGCCATTATGGTGAGTTGGAGGGCAGACTCGACTCCGTGGGAAAACAAAGGTGGTGTTGAAGGAGGAGGGCAGAGGTAAAATTTGGGCCGGTTCGCGCATGGATCGACGGGATTAACAGAAAAGCAGCACCTCAGCGAGTGACTCGACAATCGGCTTATCGATAACGCCCTTGTGCCTCCGACGTTTTGCACGTTTTGGAGGGGCAGCGCTCCACTTCGGTCCGGCGGGTACCTCGTTTTTAGCGCATCCCGGGGACGCCCCCTCCGATCTCGGGCCCAAGCGCTCAATCTTTCGAATGAACCCCACGTTGGTTCTTCTTGTCAAACATGTGCCTACGGCGCCCTACTAGGCATGTTTCGGTGTTTGAGAAGTTTCAGTTACGTCAACTAAACGTGGAACTATTTACATAACTTTCACAACTCCTGCTCAATTGGCCTCGAGCAGAGTCTCGTCAATGATGCGCTTCGCCAACCAGTCACATCTACCCCGTGCGAGCGTCGGATCAGTGCCCCTCGCAACATGCGTCGAGTTGTTAGCTTCACCCAGAACAAGAAGGTTGCCCCCAGCACCGTACGGCTCGAAACCAATGACGTTCGGTGCCGTCGGTACTCCACTCGTGACAAAGCTAGCGATCCAAGACTGAAGAACCCTCGAAACCGCAATGTCAACGTCTGTGGTAGGTGGAAAAGGGGCTTCAGCTGGGTCGATCGCCTCTCCACGATAGAAAGTAAACCCAAGATCTTGGCCGTGGACGCCGGGTGGGGCTGCAAACTGATAGTTGTACGTGGAGTTCCCCAACCCACGCGATGTGAAGGGTTGGTTGCAGGTGAAGCAAAACTCCCCAAAGCTCCGGTAGGCCCGCTCGAAGTTGTCGGTGTAGCCTTGAGAACCATCGAAAATGGGAGGATACACCTCTTCCTCCAGGGCAGTAGCACTGTCGTTGCTGATGCCGGCAACAAGGGTGCGCACGTACTCGGAGTAGGCCTCGGTGGTGTTGATTCTGGGGTCACCGAAGAGGATGCCTTCGTTGACGTTGGTGCCAATCAGTCCACGAACGTGGTCGAAGTCGCCGCTAAGCAACATTCGCGCAGGCTCCTCGGGAACAAAAACACCATCGACGGCTGGGTGAAAGGCACCTTGGTACAGCTGACGGGTGACGATGTTGTTAACGGCGATGAGGACGTCCGATGGCAACTTGCGCAGGGCATCGAATGAAGATACATTTGCGACGCTCAAAACGGTTTCGACAACATCCTCGAGCGCTTGGCTTGACCGCGCAGGCACGAAACCGGTGGACTGCGCGATGATCTGCTGGAACGGGACGGGTCCTTGTTTACCACCAAAGGCCGTCAACTGGTGAATGATGGAGCCGCCGCCGGCACTCTCGCCCATCACCGTCACGCGGTCTGGAGACCCGCCAAAGAGATGGATGTTCTCTTTGACGAATTCAAGAGCCAACCTTTGGTCGTACAAGCCGGCATTGGGTGTCCCTTGAGCCTCTACGGTAGGACCACCCAAGAAACCAAAGGCTCCGAGCTGATGATAGATGTCAGCAAGAAGTGGATTTGCGAGAGCGAAGTGAGCCGAGAAAGATGCCAACAAGGGTACGACCTTGTCAAAAATAACACGCCATGACAATAAAACGGAAGGAAAACCCACTGACCCTGTAGTTCATGGCAACGAAGATGAAGCCATCCTCACCAAGGTCCTCGCTGGCTTGCAGCAATCCAGTTGGATTATGCAGCCCTAGTCCGGTCTTTTCTCCAATCAGGTACCCTCCGCCGTAGATCCAGACCAACACCGGCGCCCCGGAGCCGGATCCGCGTTTGTCGTAGATCTTCTTCGGCACGATGACGTCAAGAAACAAGCAGTCTTCCGAGATGCGAGGGTCAGCTGGCGGTTCGGTCTGGTTGGTAGCCTGCTGTTGCAACTCGGCGAGATCGAGCACCGTGCCGCTGATGTACGAGAGGATCCACTGCGTCACAGCAGTGTCGTTGAAGAGGGTGTACGGCTGAGGGCAGATGGCGCCGACAGAACCATCATTGACAACGTGACTGGTGTTCGAAATTGTAACGGGCACAGGAGCTCGGAATCGGAGGTCGCCTACGGGCGGTTCGGCGAAGTGGATGTTGGAGAAGTTGTATGTGCCTGCATCTTCCTGTGAGATGAACCTGAGTTAGCATCATCGTAATGCAAGACCAAGTTTGGTAAGTGCAGCAAGGCTTACATTGTAGCTGATCGCTTGGTGGCGTTCCTAGAATCAAAGGCTAATGTCAGTAGCTGCGAGTTAAACAGCCCATCACCACATGCTCTAACTTACATGAGGTAAGTCGACAATTGGTAAGTCTGGTGTCTGAGTGGCGTTACTGCCATCCTTGCACACGGCTCTCGATTGAACTCCTTGAAGAAGTGCGAGAGCTAGTGGGGAGAACTTCATAATGCGTGAGCGTGTGATAGAAGGAAAGTACGTTAGAAGTGATCTGCTTGCAAGCTCTGCAGCGTCGACTAATACAGCCCATCGGCCAATATTTATAAGATATCCGCCTCCCTATATTGATCGCCATCAAAGCTCTCAACGCCTGCCTGCCAAGCAACTCTGACATCTTTCCCGAATTTTGCTGCCGATGTAGTCTGCTTCCCGTGCCCTGTTGCCGACCAACGGGTCTGACCAATCTGATGTCCCGGTGTGGCCGGTATCACGATTCACAAAGGCCTGCATGGACCCGATGGGATGGTTCTTCGCTCGTACAAGGCTTGGCAGAATCCAAGACTCCGGGAATAAGAAAGAAATGAGAAACCCGATGATTGGAAGCGTGGAGCTGCAATATCGCCATATTAATGTTCTAGCATGATCTGGCTAGCGTTCCGTACTCAAGAACAACTCCTAGTCATGACAGCTGCAGTTTGCTGACAAAAGCTCGAGCCAACCACGGGGATTACCCATCGGCGCGGCCAAGGGACGGTCCGTGGAGGCGACTCTGACAGAGAAATATCCCTGAAGTTTTCTATTTCTAAGCTTAAGCATCATTTCGGGATCGGTGTTTCCTTGTGACGAATGTCGGACCCAATGAGCGATAGTTCCGTTTTCAAGATGACAAGCCTTCGATAATGAGCTTTTCCCCCGGGCGTCTGAGATGCTCATTCCCAGTCAATCATCCACTTCGGCCGAATGACGGCCCAGCCCCCTCAGACTTCATTCGATGTGATGCTTTAAGGGGCGTACTTGCCATCATAGTTGCGCAGTGTTCGCAGAGTCAAGCGATGATCGGGGAAGCTCGCGCATCTCATTCAGCCGCTATTATCGACCTGGCTACGCGAAAATCAAGGGCAGCTTACTATCATGTGGTAAGTCGGACCCCTGCAGTTGTAGCTGCTAGATCCAGCCCCATTGACGTCAAACTGTCTTGGCAGCTAAGCCTCGTCATGACGAAGGCAGTCGCAGTGTTATGCAATCCGCAAAGGAATCTGCGGGCAGATGGACCTGCTTGCACGAAGCGAGACTGTCTTCCATGGCGCCCCCTCGGTTGAAGCATTCAACATCGATTTTGTACGTGATTAACCTAGCACTCTGCGCTAGTGAAGGTTTAAATCAGAAATTGTTACTAGTAACACCCAGTTCAAGGTTGTCAAAAAACCAGCAATTGTCATGTCACGAGACCTTGCAATGATAAGAGAAGCTCGTATATTGGTTAGACTCTCGTAAAAGTGACTACGTGGTGTCTCATGATCGTCGATTTCGAACAGAACGAATCCTATTTACTTGGTCGCCTCAGGTACTTGGCCGTAGACCACGTGGCTGCAAACGCATGGTGTCAGTTGAGCTCAAATGTAACGACAGGGGACTGCTTACTAGTTGATGTACGCATGGAACGTATTCGTCCTCATCTCATTGCGGACGTGCGCAAACAAGATCTGCGCCTCCTCTTTCGTCCACCCCAAGACTGACGTATACAGCCTTAAGTTATAGGCCTCCAGTCCATCGAGAGTTTGAACCATGTTCATGTGGCCCAGCTCCCTGATAACAGGGTCCTTAGGCCATGTTCCAAGGGGTGCTTTGATCTTCTTGTGATGGATGTTCACGAACCCAGCGTCTCGCATCCACTGTTCGAGCTGAGGTCCAGGCTGCGGGTCACGGCCCACCTTCCTAGAGCACTCCATAAACATCTTATCCATCTTCATAGAATAATGGTCATCGTTGATGGAATCATCGTCCGAATGATATAGAAGATCCCAATCCTGGAACTCGACCCAGCCGCCAGGGTTCGTGTTTCTGCATAAGATTAGCTCTGTCTGTGGCCGTTCTTGAAACCAAAGACCTACGCGAAAGTGTTTTTGACGAGCTTGGGCCAGTCGGCAATAGCCCCTGCCATAAATCGAGAATAGATGAAGTCGTATTTCGGCGCGACCCAAGTGCTCTCGACGTCGTCGACCTCGAATTTGACATTCGGGGGCACCCTGGCTGCTGTCAGTAATGCATAGCAATTGTCGCGTGCTATGTGGAAGAGAACCCACCAGGTAGTCTGAACAGGGCTCAAATCATTTCCAATGACCTGCAAAGCTTTAGACTCACGTCCTACGAGGTCACACAATAGCTATAGCGAACCTCAGCGTTGGGGAATAACTCCGAAACCTCCACAGCCCCTATCTGAGGTTAGTTGCTGGCGCAATGAAGGGAGAACAACATGTTCACTCACAGATGCCGGTGCCTGTGCCAACATCTAAGATCCGGTGCACCTTGTCTTCTTGAAGAGGAGCATGGTACAGCTTGTTCTCGGTCAACTTGATGAGGAAGCTGGAGTTGAAGTCGAGACGGTCAAGCTCATCCTGGATGTTGATGTTAGCAAGGACAAAAGAACCAGCCAAATGCATAACAGGAGATGAACGCTACCTCATCGTTGGGACCATAGTAAGCTGGATTGATGTTAGCAATTTCATACCGAGTCGAAACAATCCAAACTCACTGCCATGACGGAACGCGTGGTAGCGCCGGCCGTTCTCGGTCGGGTAGTCAAGCACGCTCGATGAAACCGATGCGGTGTATCCGGAAATTGATCTGCAGAGAGTGAGTTGTCATTCCAAGGCGTTGCATGCTCATCACGCTCTCACAATTGTGATTCCGGGATGGACACGTTATCAGAGAACTGTTGACGAAGTTAGACACATCAGACATCTCGCCACCTTATTTCATACAGCAGTACTCACACCTTCATCAACCTCAATATGAGTTTGCTGAGGTTCAGGTCGGGTCGCTTGTTCCGTCACGGCCTGAGGTGAGCCTGGCGACCTGGGCGACGCAGTGCCAGCCCTAGGAGACGCGGCTTCGGCCCTTGGCGAGGCAGTCTCAGCTTTCGGAGACGTGGGCTCTGCCTTTGGCGAGGTAGCAGCAGCGTTTGCCGAGGAAGCTTTCCCCGGTGACTGTGGGGGTACTGATGAATCAGCCATCCTGAATCGAGCTGTCGAACTGTCACGGGCCAGAGGTTGCGAATGCAAAGAGAGTTTGCACAAGTTTGCTTGAACAGATTGGACCTGGGCCAAGATGTCTGAGGAGAAGATGGACACAAAAGGTGGGAAAGAGGGGATTAACGGAGGGACGACGAGTCCAAATCCAGAAGGCTGTTGTTTTGTGGGCTGTGTGCATTCTTTGCGAGCTGGTGACCAGTTGTTGGTGCAAGGTGCGGATAGTGCATGCCCAGCCTGCTGATATGCGCAGGTGTTTTCCCAATCCAACATACGTCCTCGTAACGTCTGGGGTTCAGAACTAATCAACAGTCGCCGGTATCCCTGCAGTGGGTCCCCAGGTGGTCTTCAGCAACTCAAAGCCAATGGGATTAGAGCCGCCGCGTTATTCCCTGTCTTCCTCGGAGGATGGAAGCTGCATAGATCAGGTCAGTTTGCGGGCTTGGTTCCTTTTCAGATTCACCGGTAGCAGTGGATGGGGGAACAGTGCAAGGGCGGACATGAAATACGTCCGTCGCCGCAATTTTACTGCATCGCTTGGAAAAATGAAGAATGCTTCTGATAGCATGATGGACTCATGGAGGCCGTCTTAAAATACACACGTACACTGAACACACGATAGTAAATTCAATTCAAGATTGCAAAGATACAGACATTTCTCTTCCCCATCCATCTTACTCTGCCTCGGCTTCGGGGACTTGGCCGTAAGCCACATGGCTAGCGGGCCAATATCAGTTCACCTGTGCCTCCTGGATAGATCGAAGTGTAGGGGTACTTACAACTGCGTATAGCCGTGGTAGCGGTTAGACTTCATCTCTTTGCGCACTTCGGCGAAGAGCACCTGGGCCTCTATTTGAGTCCACCCAAGGACTGAGGTAAAGAGCCTCATGTTATAAGCTTCGAGCCCGTCCATGATCTGGATTACATTCATATGCCCTAGATCTTTCAGGCGCGCATGCTTTGGCCACGTGCCTATCGGAATCTTGAACATCTTATGGCGAACGTTGACGAATCCAGCGTCTTTCACCCAGCCCTCAAGTTGAGGGCCAGGACATGGGTCCCGGCCGATCATATGACAAGCCTCAAGAAACATTCTGTCCATTTTCATAGTGTAGGTATCTTCAGTGAGAGTGCCGTCGTCGCAATAATAGACAATGTCCCAGTCTTGGAATTCAGCCCAACCCCCTGGATTGGTGTTTCTAGAATCCGCTGGTTAGTAGGACGGCCTTCGGAAGACGTCTGGTCTAGCTGCTTACTCGAAGACGTTCTTCGCCAGTTGAGGCCAGTCTGCAATTGCTCCCGCCATAGTACGGCTGAAAATGAAGTCATATTTTGGCCCAATCCAAGGGCTCTCGACGTCATCAACTTCGAACTTAGCGTTAGGCGGAACCCTAATCACTTAGCGTGGCTTGAGAAATGTATAGCACGTCAAACATAACTCACCATTCCATCTGAACGGGGCTCAGATCGTTCCCAATCACCTAGGCATATTAGTTTCAGGAGAGTAGTAGGTCTTGAGTGCAGCGTACCTCGGCATTGGGAAACTCATCGGCAATCTGAACGGCCCCTGCGGGCTGTCAGTGGTGGTAAGAAGGGATGTGGGAGATTGACCAACAAATTCCGGTTCCGGTACCGATATCCAGGATTCGATGGACCCGATTGGAGTCAATTGGAGCGTGATAAAGCTTCCCCTCCATAACTTTGATAAGGAAATCAGACAGAAAGTCAAGACGGTCGAACTCAGCCTGTCAGTAAATGCTAGTGTTAGGAAGATTCGCCTGCTAACATGCTGCACAAAGGACTCAAGATGGGATTACCTCGTCGTTGGGACCATAGTATGCTGAGATGTGATTAGCAACGAAGTAATCATAAACCAGTCCGACTCACCGCCGTGGCGAAAGGCGTGGTAGCGGCGACCATGTTTGGTAGGGTAGTCGACCACGCTAGAGCTCAGCGATTTCGTATACGCGGAGACAGATCTAGAAAATGAGCACATGTTGAAATCAAAAATTCCTGGGCAACCTCACAATTGGTCATCTGGAATCGGAGTGTCTTCGTTGGCCTACTCGTGCTTTTAGAAAACACATCAATCTGTCGGGAAAGGGCGAGACAAACCTGTTGATCGACCTCAATCTGAGTTTCCTGAGTCACGGTATCACTAGCCTCATCGTGGGCCGTGTGCTCTCCAGGGGGAGAGCCTGGCACAGTAGGTGAGGCGGTCTTTGACCTGGAAGGAAGGTTCCAAGACTTTGGGGACGCTGCGTCTGCCGTCGCTTGTTCTGCTCTCGGCGAAGAGACTGCTTCTTCTGTTGCAGGGGAGGTTGCTTCTGCTTTTGGAGGAGAAGGTTTCGGTGGAGAAGTAGTCTCCAACGATTGCGATGGTTTGGGAGCGTGAGCCATATTCCGTTCAAACGATAAGACTCGGCAGTGATTGTCGTGGGAAAGGTCTCGGAGAACGGTGAATATATGAAGAACCCGTCAAGAGGTATCGAGAAAAGGTGGAAAGAGGGGATCAATGGAGGGATCCAGCCAACGTAAATACGACCTACAGTGGGTTTCCAACATTCTTAGAGGCCTGGTGACCTATTGTTGGTGCACGATGCATACATGCCCAGCATGCAGATGCACGAAGCGTTTTCCTAATCCAACATGCAGTACTCGTAATGTCAAGGGTGCGGAGGTGATCAATGTCTGCTTATGTGGGACCGAACATCCAATAGGATTTGACCGACGCTTCATCCCCAATACTCTTCGACATATGCATAGTACGTAAATCAGCACAAGCTGCGGGCCTTGTTTCCTCTTCAGATCTATTTACGTAGTCCGAGTGGAGAGCAATGAATGATAGGACAAGCTCCAGCAAGTGAGATTCGCGAATGCCAAGATGGTGTCATAATTGGGGTAGCGCATAGCTCATCCGTTTCCTATTTCATTGACCTGGAAAATATAAGAAAGCGCAATCCTGCGATTGAAAGTGTGACAATTATTCCTTCAGTCAAGGCTTCTGGGCATACGTAACATGGCTTCGGGTTCGAACACGTCAGAAGCAACTCTCAAATTGGCGAATAGGAGGGAAACTTACAACTCCATGTGGGCATGAAAGGTGCCAGACTTTAACTCGTTACGGACGGTTGCTAAAGTCACCAAAACCTCCTCACGGCTCCAACCGAGGACCCCCGTCAGGAGTCTCAAGTAAAACGCCTCAAGCCCCTCTAGGACGCAAATCAGGTTCATGGTACCAATATCCTTGTAGTAGGGATCTTTGGCCCAAGGGCCGATCGGAACCTTAAACTTTTGATGAACGATGTTGACAAATCCGGCGTCCCTGGCTAGTTGCTCCTGAAGAGGGCCTGGACAGGCCTCGCGGCCTATCTGTCTGCACACATCGATGAAAATCTTCACCATTCTCAAGCTCTCATGCTTATCGGTGATAGTACCGTCATCTGAGCGGTACAGCAGATCCCAGTCCTGAAACTCGACCCATCCCCCTGGATTTGTGTGTCTGTATGTTCAATCAGAGCTTTCTTCAACCAGAGCTTGAAGCAGAGAGAGCATAGTCGATATTGAACACGTACTCAAACATACTACGGGCCAATTTTGGCCAGTCTTGAATGGCACCAGCCATTGCTCGGCAAAAGATGAAGTCAAACTTTGTACTAACCCAGGAGCTTTCAACGTCATCGACCTCGAATTTCACATTTGGTGGAACCCTTGACCGGTTAGCTGAGACGGACTACCCAGTCATGTGTATTGAGTATCGCACCAAATAGTTTGGCTCGGACTCAGATCATTTCCAATCACCTGCATAGCTGTGAGATCAGAGCCCAAGACAGATGGGGATATGAGAAACCAACCTCAGCGTGAGGCAGTTCCTCGCCAATTTCACAGGCCCCTTCGTGTATTGAGTTATTGATCTTTTAGCTTGGTGGTGCTAGTGTTAGGTGACTCACAGATCCCAGTACCAGTACCAATGTCAAGAATGCGCTGGACCTTGTCTTTCTCAATGGGGGCAAGGTAGGGCTGTCCAATCACCCTAAAAACCAACGTCGAGAGAAAGTCAAGTCGATCGAGCTCGCCCTTTTCGCCAACGTCAATGAGCGACAGTCGTGGGAAATATGAGTTCAGCCAGGACGAATCTCACCTCGTCGTTGGGGGCATAATATGCTTATCTGTTGTTAGCAATCCGTTCGGTCGGTCGGTGTTTTGTCATTCCTCACCTCCTGAGCGAAAAGCGTGATAGGTACGTCCGTGTTCGACGGGGTAGTCAACAACGCTTGAACTCAATGATGCCGTATATGACGACCTACAACATCAATATTGATTCATGCACGCAGCTTTTCAATCTCTTACAGCTGATCATCGGTGACTGGGTTGCCACCGTGCAACTGAGACTCATGTTAGAACGGTCTTTTTCAGATCTTTCAAAAAAGGCTTTATGATAATACGAACACTATCGGTGTCCTCGGCCTCGATTTCAGCAGCATCTTGTCGAACTGCTGGTGAGCTAGGGTCTCGTGGTGAAGCAGTCTTGGACCTCGGCGAAGCTGTGTTGGACTTAGGGGATCCTGGGTTCGATCTCACAGGCGTAGCAGCTTTCGATGCCGAAGGTGATACTGTCGATCGTGGGGCTTCGGATGAGTCTGCCATGTTGCATTGGGTTGGGGCAGCGCTGAATCTGGGTGTACCAAGCCGAACCGTTGGACTTTGTGTGAGAGAGAGTCGAAGGAAAACGACAGAGAAAGCTGGGAAGAGGGGTTCGCAGGGTTGGCGACTGGGCCAGAAGCCGGGAGGCATTTGTACGGTGGGTTCCAACGGTTCGTTGCAAGCTGCTGGCCCATTTTTGGTGCATGAGAAGCTGCTCGTGCATGCCCAGCATGCAGGAAGGCGTTGCGCGCGATGGGTATGAAGCCAACCAACGTCCGCCGGTCGTTCAACAGTGGGTCCGGAGTTGACATTCAGTAACCCGAGGCCAATGGGATGCAACCCAACTCTTTATCCCTGAGATTCTTCGACGAATGCATACCTTGACGCGTATATCAGCTGAGCCTGCGGGGCTTGTTTCCTCTTCAGATCGAACGCTCCGACAGGGCTCCAACCATGAATGCAGGTTGGCCGCGGCAGTATCCTATCACTTAAAACGTGGCACGGTGGGAAAGAGGTGTTTGACGGATTTACAATACCGGCACGTTCATTTCACAGAGGCTCCAACAATGGAAAAACGTAAATATCTTTGGACAGCACAGCTGGTCACAGTCCTGGTTAGGGATATATTCAGGACGAGTTGCTGTCATGGAGCGATACTGAGTCTAAGAGACGAGCATCGGGCATAAGTAGACCGACATTCTGCCACAGTATAGTTTCCTTTGCATGACTCTCATTTGGCCTTGGAGAAAGCGGAATTCTTTCTTTGATTTTGCCCGACACTACATGTGTTGCATGTAAACACACAATGATCACAACGGTTTCGCATGGTCTGTGTAGTGTCGCGTTGGCTCATTACTTAGCGTCTGGCTTCTGGCCGTAGACCACATAGCTACACGGATGAAGTTAGTATTGATTGACAAGAAGTGACAAACGGAACTCACAATTTCATGTAGCCGTGAAACACCCCTTTCTTCAACTCGTTGCGAACCTGCGCGAGCAGGACTTGAACCTCAATGTTCGACCAACCGAGAACTCCTGTGAGGAGCCTCAACATGAACGTCTCTAACCCTTCCAGAATCTGAGCCAAGTTCATCATCCCTAGCTCCTTATAGTGAGGGTCCTTTGCCCATGGTCCAATCGGGATCATGAATTGACGATGATAGACATTGATGAAGCCGGCTTCCTCTACCCATTGCGCAATCTTGGAACCAGGATTAGGATCATGACCAATGATACTGCAGGCTTCCGCAAAGGTGTCGCACATCTTGGTGCAAGCGTGTTCATCGGTGAGGGAACCGTCGTCAGAGTAGTATCTGGTGTTCCAGTCTTGAAATTCAGCCCATCCACCTGGATTAACATTGCTAAACAACATTCAACAGTCAGCACTGACTGGCAGGTACATTTGAGAGTTGCAACTGCTCAAGGGAGGGTGACCCAACTTGTAGATATTATTGACAAGTTTTGGCCAGTCTTTGATTGCGCCTGCCATGGTGCGACTGAAAATGAAGTCGTAAGGTTTCGCCACCCAAGGACTTTCAACATCGTCAATTTCGAACTTTACGTTGGGCGGCACCCTTTGCCAGATTAGTAGTAGTTCAAGGGCTGTATTCATTCTCGGCCTCACCATGTTGGCTGGCTGGCACTCAAATCATTGCCAATGATCTGCGATCAACGTCAGAACCCCACTCAAGAGCAGCAGTCAAACATGATATAACGAACCTCAGCATTGGGAAAGTGTTCTGCCGCTTCAATGGCCCCTTGTTTGTGTCAGTATAGAAGGTTTCGTTTCAAAGTGGCCTACATACAAATGCCAGTTCCAGTACCGATATCGAGAACTCGGTGGGTCTTCTCTTCTTCGACGGGAGCATAGTACAACTTGCCAATCGTCTTGAAGACCACAGCTGAAAGGAGGTCCAGTCGGTCTAGTTCAGTCTACAGAAATATAGGTAAGTTTCCCGAAGTGATGGTTCGTTCTGGAGGCCGTGGTACCTCATCGTTGGGTCCATAGTACACTATCGCCATGGTCAACTTTGTTCAGGGAATGGGTGTCTTCTTGTGGTCACTCACCTCCAGCCCGGAAAGCATGGTAGCGGCGGCCATTCTCCGTCGGATAATCAAGGACACTCGACGAAAGAGACGCGGTGTACGTAGATCTACAAGTCTAACATCAATACCATATCCAGCATGCGTGGCCGGAGACCACTTACAACTGCTCATCAGTAACGGAGGCACTGGCATCAACCTAACCAATGCAGGTTAGAATTTTTTGTTTTCCCTTTCAGACCTTGGATAACTAACCCCTTCGTCAACCTCCACTTGGTCAGGTGCGGCTTCAATCTCTGGTGATCCCGGGCTTCTTGGCGATGCAGTCTTTGATCTCGGTGATGCAGCTTTGGATCTCGCTGGGGACGTAGCCGTCGGTCCTGGTGTGGAGTCGGGCGACTTCGGAGCTTTGGACAAGTCGGCCATGTTGAATTCAAATCAGCTGAGGCGCGAGGATGCAGACCGCCCAAAAGTCTCTTCTGTCGCTACTCCCGCGCCGGACTTCCTGCCTGAATGCCGTAGAGGGAAGATGGAAAAGCCTAGGAAGAGGGGTTCGTCTGGGACGGAGAACCCTGAATATTTGTACCGTTGGTTCCAACAGATTTCTGTGACTCTGGTGACCCCATAGTTGGTGCAATAGACACTGTTTATGCATGCCGGGTATGCAGACACACGTCGTGGTCTCTAAATCCGACTCAAAATCCTCGTAGTCGTCTGGGGTCGGGAGCTAATCAACGGCCCGCCAATGTGACTGCAGTGGGGCTCATCCCGCGCTCCCGCGGTGTTCATCCACCTGCGCGAATAGGAATAGGGCCGTTGTGCTATCCCCGGTCTTTCTGCACGAATAATCTGCATCAATCAGCCCAGTTAGCGCCTCCGTTTCCTCTTCAACGCTGTCACGTACATAAAGTGAGGGAACAGTGCGAAAACTTGGCGGGGTGTCGGCTACGTGGAAGAACAACCAGTTCCTTAAATCTAGTCGTCTTTTCGGCTCTTCTCATCCAGAACTTCACATATATCCATACCTGCTTGGTCGCAACAAGTTGGAGCTAAGACCTCAATGTTGTCAAAGGGCAACATGGAGAGGCAGCTCCCGCGATTTCTTTAACGTCTCGGTACGCCACATTCTTGGGAACCAAGACTTGAATCATGGAATCGCTGCGCAGCCATCCATAATAACTCGCCAGTCTGCCACAAGCTTGCTTGATTCTCAGGAAATCCTAGAGATATTATTTCCCATCTGGTACAGAGTGCGGCTCTGGCAACTAATACCGTTCTCAATGATGATCATTCAACTTGGGGTTTCTGGCGTTGTTCCGTCCAGGTGAGATTTCACTATTACAGTGCGCCCCTTTCAGACACCTCACATATGCCAGCATGAAGTTTCTTTCCTGGCGTCAAAGTATGACCTTGTCATCCATATCTCAGATCACAAGAGTAAGCATAGCTTTCGATAAGCAGCTAATCAAAACGAAACAGCACATCGATGTCAAGACATGCTCAAGTGCTCAAGGTGATGATGCGATAAAGAATATCCTTAGTATCGTCATAGAAAAAGTGAAATTGGGCAACTTTTACTATGGTCTCTGCGGCTTGGGAGGCCTTGATTGCATCATGCTAAGCCGTTAAGAATAGAATACATAGACAAAACTAAACTATTTGCAGTTTCAACAGCGGCAGAAACCAAATTATTATTTGCAAAATACGTAATAAAAGGTTCGGCTCTAAAACAGGAAAAGGACCCAGCAACGAAGGACTCAAGAGTCAAGCACGAGTGAACCTAAGAACAGCTAGGGGTTTGACGAGAAAGAGAAAAAGGAAAGTGATGTTAGCCCCTAAATTCTGACTACGGGGAAAGAAAATTCTCAACCTTCGACCACCACAGACTTACACAACGGGTGCTCGCGATGAGGCATTCACGATGCGAAGGCCCGCCGTGGTCGGATTCATGGACGGCGGAATTTTCCGTTTGATTAATAATCAGACCCGCCTTGCTAGCTCAATCGGTAGAGCGTGAGACTCTTAATCTCAAGGTTGCGGGTTCGACCCCCGCGTGAGGCTCAAATCCTCACCACGATTGACTCAGTCCAATCCAGCGGGTTCTTCTCTTTCGACTTTTTGTTGCATTGACTAACCAGCATTGATTGCTTTCATACGCATGGCTGACGATGAGTGAAGAGCCATGGTAACTCGCAACTTTGTTCGTCTTGGTCTGCCGTAGATCTGTTCATCCCGTTGTATCACGGTGGCGCGTCTTCCGAACCTCACTTACACACTCCTCAGTAGAGCCATCATCAGAGTCTGCATCGCCACGCTCTGCAGTCTGAAGGCACCTTACTACGCGGCACGTCAAACCGCATTCTGTCTGATGAAATCTCCGCACCCTTCTTGTTCCCAGTCTCTAGGTACCGCATCCGAGGTTCGCGACGCGTACCCAGCTTACACCAAAGTCCACCTCACCAGCATCCCCTCTCAGTAAGCCCCCTCTCATCGACGGTATTTGTCAACCCTCTTCGTTCACAACGTGCCTCACACGACAGCCAACAAGTCTTGGAACGCGCCACAGTGTTGACACATTACAACCTCATCGCCAAGGGACACACCGGTCTCTAGTCGATGGAGCAAGCGACCGCAGCCGGGCCGCGCCCCCGGCCTCCCACTCCTACCGCTGAGCCCTTCCCACGGCGAGCGTCCTGACCGGCAACCCTAAACACCACGCATCGCAGTCTAAACTCCGACGTCAACCCTCGGGAAGCATCCCTTCTAATCCCCCTCCCGAAACGGAGAAGCCCATGATCCCTGGTAGGGCAGTCACAATCGATAGCCCAGAGCGCACAAATCCCTGGAGATGATGCGCGAAGAGAGGAACGCCGGAACCTTGAACGAAGGATAGGTATCTTAGTGGGAGGGCCAAGATGTACCCGGCCGCCGCGTGCCGATGCGGCTTCAAGCCAAGAGGCGGCGGGGGCCAAAGCCCGACCACGTTAGGCGAAGGGGGGGGGGGGGGGGTAAGGAGCCAAGACCCGGGATGCCGGCCGGGCGGTCCCCGACTTTCCCTGTGCTTATCCCTTCTCTCCTCCAAAGCCGTGCCATCGTTTTCGTTTTCCAGCACGCGCCAACCACCCAGGCAGAAAAAAAAAAGGCAGAAAAGCAAAACGATGAAGAAAGAATTCTCCGATTTTACCCACTTTGCCCACAGACGCCGCTGACACTTTGACATGACAACCATCTAAAACAATCTTGTCACGGTCCGTCGAGAGGACCTTTCGATGGAGGCCGGGGAGGGACGGGGGTTCCAGAACGTCACAACAGCCAACGCCCAAAACTTGCAACAGAAACCCCATCACGGACCAATTACTCTGTGTCAACGTCTCGATCACGAACCAGTAGGTAGAAAAAGAAGAAAAAGTAAACCAAGAAAGGGCTGTGTTGAGTTGGCGCTAGTTGGCCAGACCCCCCCGTATCACATCATCCCGTCAAACCCGTCACTAAATCGTCCCAATCCCGCACCCGAAACGGCCTACATCAGAGATTTTGACTGAGCAGATCATCACCCACACAGCCAAGAACAAGGGGGGCGAGCAGAGAGAATCAATGACAGCGATAAGCTTGTTTTCTCACCAAGTCCCCACACCATCAGTCAATCACAACAAGGCTGTGTCCGTCCACGATAACCGACAAGGCCAGTTCGCACATCATTTGGGTGGTGGCCCTCTCACCAAGGTTCAACCCGTTGCCGCTAGCCCAAAGATCCTTGCAGCATGTGTGACACGCATCTTCTACGTTCCGTAGCCTCTTGAGACTCTCCCGCTAGTCAGGAATGGGCGGACGTTCAGGAGGGAAAGGGTGGTGTGTGGAGTGTGGTAAAATACATTCGGCGGTGGCAGTGCGTTCGAACCTTTTGGTTATCATCTGCGTTCTAGTTCTTCCTGGGGGAAGGGGGAGGGAAGTTCCCTGGCCATACCACGCTGCCCAATGCAGAGATCACATCTCAGGGTCTTGGATCACCATACCACCTCAAACAGCTCTCCTCCTCACAGAAGATTGGGGCTAACGCCAGACCTTACTGATGGGGCCGTACCGTAGCCCCCAAGGGGAGGAGGTCATCGGTACCAGTTACCAAACAGTGAAATCGCCAACCACCACCCCCCCGCTGAAAGGGAAAGCTGGCTATGCTATGCTGCGCTGTCCCAGTGGCATCCAACCAACTCCCCCAGCAGACGAGAAACACGACGCCAAACGTGGGGAGGGGACCGTGTTGGCGCGGTTTCTCTCTCCATCTTGTGTCTGAACCTGGGGGCCATCGTGCCGTTTGACGTTTCCAAAACCAACATTGCGACATTTCTCTCGAAGCTTTTGGAAGGCATCGACTCGCTTCACTGCCTTGGTAGGCGCAGCAAGCACCACAAACACATCTGGCGACAGAGCAGAGAAACAAGTGTTTTGAGGCAATTTACGTGCCCATCACGATATCCAGTCGTACCGTTGTTCGGTAGTTACGTTTGGCGCCTGGGGCCTGGCTGCTCGGCTGGTGTGACGAGGTTTGTGTCAACTGGCCAAGTGCGAGATGAGCGCGAAGAGGCGAAGGGCGGTGTTCGGAGCGTTTGCGGCGGGCTGACCTTGCTGGACGCCCGAAATCATGTGGCTTTTGATTGCGTTAATCGTTTGCTTGGTGTTGAATCCGGTTGAGTTGAAGCCATCGAGAGCTTGTTGTCCCTGCAAAATGCGCCTTTGCGTAGAGTTTATGCTCTCAGAGATGTCGCTGTGTACACTCCATCGCACCCATCCCAATTGTAATGATTTCAATCAAATTTTCCTAGTCAGTAGATCTCAAGACGAAGATATCACACAAGGACAGTTCCAAAAAACAAAAGATTGTCATCGTGGTCTGGAAACTACCAGCGAGTTCCGTGCCTCGCTGGCCAGCCGTAAAAATCCGCTTCGTTTGTACATAACCTATGTGCATGTAGGTAATGCAACTTTTTTGCGTAGTACAAAATTCCGCAGTTGCGACAAAAAAAAAAAGAAAAAAAAAAAGGTTCCAAACATAGAAAAGATGATTTCGACGTCCAGTCAGCCCAACCCCCCATATAAACAATATTCCCCAAACAAAGACAGCAAATCAAGAAAAAACCGACTTTCCAGCCATCATCCTCTTTGCACTGGCGTCCACCCACTAAAGGAAAAAAAGGCCCGGCCTCTTCCTCTGCCCCCGTCTCCCACGGTTGATTAAAATGACCAATTCGACAAACGTTGGATGGAGCCATATGAAGTTGCCAAGGCACTGGGCGACATCCCGCCTGCCTTTGCTTTTTCCCCGCCTGTCCACCAATTTCCCACCAAGGCTTTTGGTAAAAACTCCTTTCACCCGGACCTGGTCTTCCAGCGAACCAGGCCAAGAGACACAAAGGGAAATGCCAAAACAC